AGCGAGGCATTCCGTGTCGTCCGCTCGATTCGGAGGAACTACTTGGTTCGGCATATAGCAGGAATATTCCTCTCCTGAGAACCAGTGCGTTCCATTCCGTTTTCCAACCAAACACGAGAACGACCTCCAGGGACGGATCCGACCCATTACGTTCCGCTTCGTTCTTTGAACTGAACACACCCTAAGGGAGTGTTAGGTTCCTCTCCGCTCCTCTAACTCCGCTTCGGGAGCGGGCGCGATTGCAACTTACTTTGACGGAGCTGCCAAAACCGAACTCCACAACTCGGTGGAGCGGATCGATTCCGAACAGGGCCTAAGCACCAATCGATACTTCGGAGCCCACCTTTATAACCTACTTCTTTGGTTTCTATTTACTCCCCACATTAGCTTTATCTCACGTCAAACTTTGCAAAGTTTGGGAAAAAAATCCGGGCGGAAGTGCCCGCGCGGCGTGCGCCACTCGGTGGCCGACGCTTCTCGATCGCGCGCCGCGAGGCTTTCTCGCCGCTCCCTCGCTACCTGCAGCCAACGCCGGCCACTCGATCAGCCAGTCATTCACCCACCCGCTCGCACTGATAGCCAGCCTGCCAAGCCTGCCCCGGCCGGCAATCTATCCACCCAGTCACCTCACGTCACCCGCCTAGGCATCCAGTCTGAAACACAGTGGAAGCTCCACATCCATCGACCATGGGGGCGCTGGCGGAGTCGATCGCGTCGCACGTGCCGTCGGGGATGCTGAGCGCGGGGCTGGCGGCGCTGGCGGCGCTGCCGAACCCCGGCGAGCTGGTGCGGAAGGCGGCGCGGCTGGAGGACGAGCTGAGGGAGCTGCTCCGGCTGAACGGCCGTGGCGCCGGGGCGGGGGCGGAGCAGGGGGGCGGCAACCGGGCGCAGCAGACGCGAGAGCGCTTCCTGCGCGCGTACGAGCGGCTCAAGGACGAGCTCCTCAAGGACCGCGCCTTCAACTTCGACTTCACCGAGGAGACCAGGCAGTGGGTCGCCAAGGTACGTGCTCCACAGTCCGAATCAGTCTCGAGCTACGAACGAATGATCAATCCATATAGAAGAAGTGAACTACGTACTAGCACGCACGCATGCATGATGGTCCGACCAACAATGGCATGCATGATCCCCAAGCTCAGACGTCCATTTCTGTGTTTGTGTTTTCCGTCGAACACCATTAGCTTTTCGGAATCGCCGCTTAGAGTTTAGCTCGTGAAAAATTTGGACGCTAACTGGAGTTCCAGATGACGCTTACGTGTTAGTACGCTTTAGTTACCAGCACAGGTGCACAACCGTCTCGTGTGGTTGTGAAGTGATGCCTCCCTGTAGTCACACATGTCCATGTCGCCGTGGAATATTTACGGGGATAACGGTCACAGTCCGTCAGTCACTGGACGGTACAGTGAAAACTTGAGCGAATACCGTCTATGTATCACAAATAGAAACCGAGGGCGATGTTGTCACAGGAGTCACAACTACTCCCTTCCTTCAAAAATAAATAACCCAACTTTATACTAATTTTAGTACAAAGTTAATATAAAATTGGGTCATCTATTTTGAAACGGAGGGAGTACGAATTGCCCAAGAGAGTGAACCCTGCCTCCCCACCACTTGATTGATTCCTACCTCTAGCTGATTTGACATTCATAACAGGATTTCCCTTAGGATTTGGGATCAAATCTGGCATTCCTGTTAGGCACACATTAGCTGTAGAAAATGTGTCATGTTAATCTGTCAGTCATGTTTGGTTCATCACTGCCCACCTGCCCTTCCAGGCACACAACTCCCTGCTCCCCTTATGATATGGAGTATATAACTAAGGTCTTGTTTGATAGCAAAATATTTCCTAAGTATTCTTAGAATAACATAGTTTTTATAATTACCATTGTTTTTATTACTGTCAGTTGTTAACCCGATAACCAAAAGGGAAAAAGGCCCATTCGCCTGATTTCTAATACTTGTGGTGGTGTCACCTTAACTAATAAACGAAAAAAACTATACAGGGAAAATAAAATTTTCTAATAAAGAATGAATTAGGACCATTGATAGTACCCTTAAAAAGAAAGAAAAACTAAAAAGTAAATTAAATAATGACAAATCTGCACCATAGATATTGTGTTTTTTATAATATGCAAGAATAAACATATAATAGTGAAAGTTTCAAGAAAAAGAAGTTTTCTAAAAAGGAATGAATTAGTGGTATTTGCACTGGCGGAGCTACATGTAACACCCCCCCCCCCCCGGTTTGGCAATTTTTCTGAAGAAACGTTTTATAGGGAGGTATAAATAGGAAAGAATACAACTTTTGCCCCGCAGAAATTGATTTTTCCTCTCTTGCATGCCCCCCCAACCAATCTTGTGTAGCTCTGCCACTAGGCATTGGTATTACCCTTAAGAAAGAACATACATAAAAACCGAAAACAGAATGATGATTTTTTTTTGCACAAAGTATCACAGAAATAAAAAAAATTATACAGTTTAGAAAAGCATTCTAAAAAGGAATGAATTGGTGGCATTGCATTACCCTTAAAAGAAAAAAACTTACGGTGGTGCACCTTAAAAAATAAAAATAAATAAAAACAAGAAAAGTAGAGTTTTCTAAGGACGAATGATTTAGTGGCATTAGTAGTACAATTAAAAATAAAAAACATGTAAAATAAAATCAAGTGATGACAAAATTTGCACGCAATTTACGTAGAAAATAATAACAGTTTTATATAGTTTCACAAAAAAGAAGTTTTTGAGAATGAATGAATTAGTGACATTCATATTACCCCTAAAAGAAGAAAATAAAATGAAATAAAAACTAAAAAACAAAATAATGGGGTTTCATATGGAAGAATGAACTAATGACATTGATATTACTGTTTAAGAAGAAAGAAAATTTTAAAAACTATAACAAATAATTACAAAATTGGCACAAAATAATAGTTATTTTTTTTACTAAAAGGAAGTTTCCTAAGAAGGAAAGTCTTAGTGGCATTGGCATGACAATTAAATAAGAAATAATATGAAATAAAACTAAAATTAAATTAAATAATGAAGTTTTCTGAAAAATAATGTATTAGTAACTTTTGTAATACCCTTTTAGAAGAAAGACAATGAAATAAAGACTAAAACATCAAAATAATGGAGCTTTCTAAGAAAAAATGAATTAATGGCATTGGAATGACCCTATAAGAAGAAATAAAGTAAAAAATGATTTTAAAATGGAAAAAATTACACATAAATTGCGCATTTTTAATAATATGCAAGAATAAGAATTTAATAGTGTAATTTTCAGAAAAATAAGTTTCCTGAGAAAGGAAGTAATTTGTGGCATTGGTATTACAATTAAATAAGAAAGAAAATGAAAATAAAACTAGAACAAAATCAAAATATTGAATTATACTATGAAAGAATGAATTGGTGGCTTTGATATTACTACCCTTTAACTAAAAAGAATCAGAATAATGAGGTTTCCTAAGGAAGAATGAACTAGTGGCATTGGTATTACCTATTAAGAAAAAATGAAAATAATAAATATAAAACAAACAGTGACAAAATTCACACCCAATATACACAAAATTGCACTTTTTTGAAATATGCAAGAATAAGCATATAATAGTGATTGTTTTGCCGAAAAAAGTTTCCTAAGAAGGATTGAATTAGTGACATTGGTATTATCCTTAAAAAAGAAAAAAAAACTAAAACTAAATTAAAATAATAAAAATTTGTAAGGAATAATGAATTGTGTAATTGGTATTACCCTTTAAGAAAGGAAAAAAACTCGCACACAATTTTACATTGAAATGGTACTTTTTGTAGTATGCGAATAATAATCATATAATAGTGCAATTTCATATATATTTTTGTAGCAGCTATGTGTATACATGTACGGTTACCCAACATCCAAAAAATACAACAAAAAAACCAAAAAATCAAGAAAAACAAAATCAATAAACAAAAACAAATAAAAAACAGAAAAGAACAAAGGGAGAGAGGGATGGCTGGGTCACACCCACACAGGGAAATGGGCTTCAACTCGTTAAGGAATTGCGTTGTTCTTGCTTCCGACCTTTTCCTTGCCTTTTGTTGTTGTTTCAAAACGTTGGCTCCCGATGAATGAAACCGAAACCGTACTAATGGCCACCGCTGTTTGCTGATTGCCCCTGCAGATGCTGGACTACAACGTGCCTGGAGGTGAGCAGTAGCTAGCCGATCGTCCCTCCTCCTTCGCACGATGAGTGCCGACAATACACTCCGACTGAATGTATGCACAGTTAGCTCTGCCTGACACGCGCGCTTTGTCTCTGAACTGAAGGGAAGCTGAACCGGGGGCTGTCGGTGATCGACAGCTACATGCTGCTGCGGGAGGGCACCGAGGTGGACGAGGAGGACTTCTACCTCGCCTGCGTGCTCGGATGGTGCATCGAATGGGTGAGCTATATAATTTCTGTATTCAGTGCTTCTCTGCGAGAAGACATTACAAGTACATTGACTTGTGTCTCTGAATGTGCAGCTCCAGGCGTCCGCCCTGGTGATGGATGACATCACGGACAACGCCTACACGAGGCGGGACAACCTCTGCTGGTACAAGCTGCCCACCGTGCGTACTTCACCTCACCGCCGATCCGCAGTAGAAAGTACATCTCGTGAGAGATGAGATGGATTAGTGACAACAAAGTGTTGTTGGTGGTGTCTGTCAGGTTGGCCTGTCCGCGATAAACGACGGCGTCCTGCTGAAATGCCACGTCCAGGCCATCATCAAGCGCTACTTCAAGGAGAAGTTCTACTTCATGGAGCTCATGGAGCTCTGGAACGAGGTATGCACGATCCAATGCGCGCCATCAAATCAGTTTCCAGAGTTAATATCTGTATGTGCATTTCCATGGTCTTTTGACCCTGGTGATAACGGAGTTTGCTGGATGGTGTGCATTGTTTGGATAGATTGGGTTGCAGACCGCCATGGGGCAGATGCTGGACCTCATCACCACCCACACCGGCGCCAAGGACCTCGCCAGATACAGGATCCAAGGGTATGCCATTAGAGTCTTGTAGCTTAACAGCAAGTTCTATAGCTTAAAAAGTACCAGTAATTACATATCGCCACCTTGTTTATGACAGGTACCGCCGTATTGTCAAGTACAAAACATCCTACTATTCCTTCTACCTGCCGGTGAGTCTCTGGCCCTGAAACTGCAGTACACATCTCTTGCCTCTAGTTCAGACTTGATCATCCTGACTATTTTGTAGTCATTCAGAATAATTGCCTCGTAGAACTTCGTTGCGGTATCCACGAGTTCTATTGCACAGAACACTCTGCTTAGCGCAAAAATCGGTCCTGAAATTGGTTACTTTCATGCATATAGGTTGCTTGTGCATTGCTCTTGAATGGCGCGAAACTGAGCGACTACGTCGAGCTCAAAAATGTACTGATTGAGATGGGAGTCTACTTTCAGATACAGGTCCGGTGCCCTCCATAAGTACATGTTTCTTCTGTAAACTTCATCTAGCATGTATGGCTGAAATGCGTTTGCATTTTCAGGATGACTACCTGGATTGCTTCGGCGACCCTCAAGTTATTGGCAAGGTAAAAGAATATTGACACCCTCTGTTTTCCTTACAGTTTCTTGCTGGCTTCAGAGTTTCACTGTCTCACTGTGCTGCAGGTTGGAACAGACATAGAAGACTACAAGTGCTCCTGGCTAATTGTCCAGGCTATGGAACTGGCTAATGAGAATGAGATGAAAATACTATACGTAAGAAATTAAGTCACTAATTTGAGTTTTCAGAGACCGCCACTTCAGTGATAATGTTTATTGACCTGCTAGAAGAAAGTAGTACTAAATTGCGAATATTTCCATGAACCATGTTGACTTCTCAGGAAAACTATGGCAAGTCTTGCCCGGAATGTGTTGCAGCAGTGAAAAATGTTTACAAGGAGCTTGATCTTCAGGTATAACTCTTTCCAGCCAGATTTGACGTTTCTGCCTAGAAGACTCTTTTGATATTGTCTTAAGCTGATGTTTGCTGCTATCCCTTTGTTCTTTTTCTTCTTTTGTTAAAAAAGAAACAGAGAACTGCCAATCTGATGAACTCTGAACAATTTTGTTTATCTCCTCCTGCACCCAGGACATATTCTTGGAGTACGAGTCAAGAGTTTACAAGCACCTGGTTTCAACCATCGACGCCGAGCCAGACCGTGCGATTCGGGAGATTTTGAAGATCTTTTTGAAGAAGATTTATAGGAGAAAGAAGTAGACGCCCCTCTCTGCTGTTTTCACAACCGTGATTACTACGGGAGGAACCTATATAAACATTCCACGGTTGGGGATGTCAATAAGCTCCCTTGTACAACGTGTATGATATGAACTGTATGAACTGGAGAAGACACTGCCTTGAAATAAAGACCATATATGTGAAGAGGACCTCTCCTCATAGGACCTTGAGTGGCCCGCGTGGATCATGCTGCCATTACTAGCAGGGGCCCGTACTAGCCCATGTACACCGTATTAAGTACTACTGGTATTTTTTTTTTGCATGCGTGATTAATACAGTTTTTGGCAACAGCGACCAGTCAGATAGCAAAGACCAGCGGTTGCCATGTCCAGGGTGTCCACACTCAACCAAGTTGCCGCAGTTAGCTTGTTTGGTCACTGGTGACCCTCCACTGATCTATAATGTCATCCATGAAAACTGGAAGTGGTATGCTTGTATGCTAATATCTTCCACGAGTTAGGTCTCAAGATTTCGATTGCATTACAAACTTATTTGAACACATTAATCTTTCACTAAAAATAGGGCGGGGGGGAATGATGAGACAACTGCACCTGAGCCTAAAAGTGGAATTCAAATACAATCCAAAACTGATGTCATGTCGTTTCTTCTTCCCATTATAATAGACACACTGATGCTTATAGTGACGCATGGTATTCAATAAATTGACGGTGATGGTATCTCATTCATTGTTCAAGATGACACAATATATATTGGCCTAAATTTGAAATTCAGATTTAAAAGAGAGGACATTCTCTTAATAGTTAAAAACAGTTGAGCTGTGGCCTGAAGGAAAAATGAGGAGATGTCACAATGTATATAAAGACAAATTAATATGATTCCCCCTATTCTCCATAACAAATATGATTCCCTTTACTATGAAAGCCATCCATAGTACATAACTCTTTTTCTTGGAACTCAAGAGCCTTTTTGCTGTTTCCTCTTTTCTCAATTAACAGTCTAAATTATGCAAACTCTCAAAACCTTTTGTTACTTGCAAATATTAGGGTACTAACAAAGTGTGTTTATAACTCTATATACAAGTTGGGTTGGTTGAATAGTACAAGTCTCCAGCGCCCATCAGGCTTCAAGTTTTAGACCTGACATTGATGCTTGCATTTTTCTGGATTTGTTTCAGGCCTTTCAGCGATGTGTGTTCGGTGACAGGAGACGTTCCCCTCGACTATCAAGACGTCTGTAACGACTTCGTCAATCTCAAGGTGATGTGCCGGCTCAGTCTCTCGGAGGTGCTCATAGGGGTAAGGTGTAACGCCCTCGATGCAGCTATATCTCCCACGTGTCGAAGCACGACTTAGAGGCATAACCGCATTGAAAGCAATATCGCAAGTGAGGTAATCTTCACACAACCCATGTAATACATAAGGGAAAAAGATACATAGTTGGCTTACAATCGCCACTTCACACAATTACATGAATAAAGCATTACATCATCCAAATACACTCAAGGTCCGACTACGGAACCAAAATAAAAGAAGACTACCCCAAATGCTACACAGATCCCCGATCGACCCGACTGGGCTCCACTACTGATCAACTAGAACGAAACAACACAAAGGATAAGATCTTCAACGAGCTCCTCCTGGAGCTTGGTTGCGTCACCTGCTCGGTAACATCGGCACCTGCAAACTGGTTTTGGAAGTATCTGTGAGTCACGGGGACTCAGCAATCTCGCACCCTCGCGATCAAGACTATTTAAGCTTATAGGTAAGGTAAAAGGTATGAGGTGGAGCTGCAGCAAGCGACTAGCATATAAGGTGGCTAACATACGCAAATAAGAGCGAGAAGAGAAGGCAAAAGCATGGTCGAGAATCTATGATCAAGAAGTGATCCTAGAACAACCTACGTCAAGCATAACTCCAACACCGTGTTCACTTCCCGGACCCCGCCGAGAAGAGACCATCACGGTTACACACGCGGTTGATGTATTTTAATTAAGGTCAACTTCAGGTTTTCTACAACCGGACGTTAACAAATTCCCATCTGCCCATAACCGCGGACACGGCTTTCGAAAGTTCAATCCCTGCAGGGGTGTCCCAACTTAGCCCATCACAAGCTCTCACGGGCAACGAAGGATATTCCTTCTAGCGGGAAGACCCGATAAGACTCGGAATCCCGGTTACAAGACATTTCGACAATGGTAAAACAAGACCAGCAAAGCCGCCTGATGCGCCGACAAATCCCGATAGGAGCTGCACATATCTCGTTCTCAGGGCACACCGGATAGGTCAAGCTACGAGTAAAAAATCAACCCTCGAGTTGCCCCGAGGTGGCCCCACAGGCTGCCCGTTTCGGACCAATACTCAGAGGAGCACTGGCCCGGGGGGGTTTAAAATAAAGATGACCCTCGGGCTCGCGAAAACCCAAGGGAAGGTTATAGGTTGTTAGTGCAAATGGTAAAACCAAGGTTGGGCCTTCCTGGAGGAGTTTTATTCAAGGCGAACTGTCAAGGGGTTCCCGTTATTACCCAACCGCGTAAGGAACGCAAAATCCGGGAACATAACACCGATATGACGGAAACTAGGGCGGCAAGAGTGGAACAAAACACCAGGCATAAGGCCGAGCCTTCCACCCTTTACCAAGTATATAGATGCATTAATTAAATACGATATATTGTGATATCCCAACAAGTAAACATGTTCCAACAAGGAACAACATCTCCATGTTCCAACAAGGAACAAACTTCAATCTTCACCTGCAACTAACAACGCTATAAGAGGGGCTGAGCAAAGCGGTAACATAGCCAAACAACAATTTGCTAGAACAAGGTGGGTTAGAGGCTTGGTTCAACAACATAGGAGGCATGATAAGCAAGTGGTAGGTATCGCAGCATAGGCATAGCAAAAGAGCGAGCATCTAGCAAGCAAAGATAGAAGTGATTTCGAGGGTATGATCATCTTGCCTGAAATCCCGCAAGGAAGAAGAACGAGTCCATGAAGAACACAAACGGACATCGGTCTCGGGGCGTCACAACACTCCACCACTATGGAGAGGATCTCGTCCCGAGATCTAGAATGGCACCGGAGGGAGAACGGAAGAGAAAAAGAAGAGGTAAAACTAAATTGCTTCTTTGACCAATGAGTGAAACCAAAGAACCTTGAAAAGGTTAAGCCAGCTCGAGAAAAGAATACAATGGAGATAAATGAAGTTGAAAACACTCCATTAGAAAAGATGAACTAGGAAGAACAACTTCGGGCAGAACTCCGATTGAAAATAAAATGAATTGAATAAGAACTTGGTAAGATGAGAAGATACTTGATGAAATCACAACACACTGCCTCCGGAACTATTGAATGAATGGAGAAAGGGGTAAGAAAGGTCTCAGACAGCACTCCGGTTGAAAAGAGATGCAAGGCTTGATAAGGTGAAAAGAACTTGAGCAAAAGGCACAACCCTCCGGTTAAATGGATAGGCATGAAAAGAACATGATCTTTGACAAAAACGAGATGATGGGTTGAAAAGAGCAACATGACAATGCCTCCGGAACAAAAGAATAGAAGATAGATAATTGAAATAGGAGAATGGAGAAGAAAATGCCAACTTCTGCCACAAAAGAACTTGAAAAGGTATCCTTAGGAGAAGGGTCGAACAGAGTTGTTGGAAACACAACAACGAAAAGATAAGCTTGATATGGTCTTATGGAATACAGCTCAAAATATGAGGTGACAACCCGCCACTCACGGGAAAAAAATTGGATTGATATGAACAAATTGACGAGAAAGTCTATCGCACTGGAAAGGATAAATGAAGAAATTGGATCATTGATAAACACCATGAGAGCGACAATCCTTAAAGGAAAGCTTTAGGTGAAATATAACCCAAGATAATTCCAATGAAGAAAAATATGGATTTAAAATATCTCATTCTTGACAACATGTGAATCATGAAAACATGAACTCAAATTATCAAGAATGACATAATACCACCTCCAATAATATGGTAGAAAGAATTGCACTCCGGATTGCAAGATGAAGAATGATTGAGCTCCTCTGAAAAGAATCTCAATGAACACCTCGAAAAGGAATTAAATATTAGATGAACCATCATGTAGAACCTTGATGAAGAACTCCGGTAATAAAATGATGATAAAAGAAAAAGAAGTTGACAACACAAAGTGAAGCCTTGCAATGCTTAGATGGATCTTCGCAATGAAATGATTGAGAAAACTTGGAACTCCGGGAAAAGAATAGATAAAGCATCTCGAACCGAGAATTTGATGAACCACCAGAATAGGGAATTAATCATCTGGGTGAATCAAGAATAAGAATTATGTTATGCTCCTCCTTCACCAATTAAATTGATGACGAGCAAACGGATTGCATACAACTTATTCTCGTATAAAAGATTAAGAGAGATATAACATAAACTTGAGAATGTCTTCACGAAACCACCGTTAGGATTTGAAAGAACGAATAGATTGATATGATAACGAATGACGAGAACTCTTGAATGAACCACCGTAAGAATTGAAAATGAACGAAGAGAAGATAAAGAAACAACGGGAAGAATTAGCAAATTAACGAAGATGTTTGAGAGAATTTAGATACAACTGAACGAAGAGAACCCATGCTGATTAGAGAAATTTGGATGATGCACCGGATAGATTTGGAGAACGATGGCTGAAAACTGGAATGAATAATATTTGAAAAGATGGCCTCCGGAGAATCAAACTGAAAAGAATCTTGAATTGCTCCGGATAGGGTGAAAAGAATTCTCACAATCAAATACAATGATGAGAGAATGGCAATAAGCTAAAACCACGAGTCTCTGAGAGAACGGATAAGATATGGAGGAAAAACTCTTCTTCGGTCTCCAAATGTTGAGAATGACGACGAGAAACACCACCAAGAATTATTTAGACACTCCGGAAGAATCAAAACGAAGAGGTTGAGCCAACGATGAAAAGAATTAGACAGATCTTGGAGAAATGCATTTGACTGATGATAAATCATTCTTACGTCATACTTTAAAAGATTTGAGAATAGCTCCGATAAAATTAGAAGAGTCAGGTAAGATCCTGGAAAAAGACCTGTGGGTTAGGGCCCACTGAAAAGAAACACCGTTGAACGATTTAAGAGAGAAAGCACCAGTTGAATTAAATGGTTTGAATAAGATAACATTCTCGAAAGATCTTGAAAGAATGAGAATAAACACTAACATCCTCTGAGATATCTTGAGCACTCCGGAACAATTGAATAGCAAGCGGGGAAGATTAAGAGGTGCACTGGCATAAGTAAGCATTGAAACGAGGAAAAGGTATGATCAACAAAGCTTGACTTGAAACCACCGGAGAAGAAAAGGAATGAGGAATGACGAACTTGAAGCTCCGTTAGAATCTTCATGAGAATCACTGGATAAGAATATTGAAAGAAAAGAATGAAGAGACTTCACATGAATAGGATGGACACTTGATTACGAAATCTGAGTCCTTGAAGAAAAACAAGGGAGGGAGGGTGGGAAAAACAAACACAATTTGGAATGGATGAAACGAACACCGTTGAGAAACTTAGAATTGATCTTGCGGATGTTGAAATGATCGGATCCACTTGAAGAGAGCCACACCGGTTGAAAAGGATTGACATGACAATCTCGATTATCATGAGGGATTAGTATTCACATAGGAATATGAGAACACCGCTTGGGGTAGGTATGGAATCAACATTTGACTTCGAAGCAACTCGAATACCACAACTCAAAACAACACAAAGGGTTGGCTTGCAGAATAAGCCGGAACAAACATATGATAGAGATTTCGTCCGAAGTTTTCATGGTGGGGCCTACACGGGCTCGATCGTACATCACCATCATGTGCAAGGCAGTGCACATGACATACGAAACGTCCCCGAGTCGGCATAGCCAAGGACTCTTTAAGACACAACGAGACTACTGTAAAACCGACCATGAATAGGCGGACCACTAGACGTCGAACCCCAATTTCATATCATACATCTGTCAGAAAGATATCCTACGAACTACTTGAATTCCCACTTATAAACTCCCGAAACTTTCCGGTTATGCAATCAGGTGTTGGGGATATAGGGGAAGCATAATATCTCACCCAAAACTAGCAAATCCTACATCCAGCTGTATCCATCCTTCAACACATAACCAAGAAACCTTCAGAAATCATCTACCTCAACCTTCGAAAAGCATCCATTATACAAGTTATGGCAATACTCCCGAACTGCCGCCCAGTACTGGGTGGCGTCGAGGTTATCTCACCAACAACTGCATAAAAGAGATTTTCGATGTCGGCGAAACTAATCTCAGGTATTCCAGAACTGCAACGATAAAATTG